GCAGGTGCAAACATGTGGATGCACACTTTAAAAATATTGACACCTATGTGCATGCAAGTAAGTGTTAGCATTTGCAGCCCTAGAACATTGTCCCACTGGGTTCTGTGGATACAAATTCTAACATAGGTGTATACAGGTATTAGAACTGTTCATAGCTATGCAAGTGTTGCACGTCCACAACTGAAGGCTAGGTACCCTTCTGGGTAAAAATGTACCCTTTTGGGTGAAATTCACCCATAATCATATGGTTGTGAAAGGTCCCAGTGCACTGGAACTACCAAAGTCCTGCTGTTTGGTATGTAGGCAGCAGGAATCTGCACATCCTGCAGGTGGTGGCCTGCCTGAGAAACAACCAAGGAGTTAGGGCAGGCCAGAATAGAGGTGAGGTGCAGTCACTGGGTACACACATATAGCCACCTGTCCAAAACCACAGCACAGATTTTGTTTAAGGATAGCAGCCCCTAGTGCAGCAAAGTGGTGGAACAGAGGAAAAAGTTCCATTTTTAAATTGATTCACAGCCCATCAAAGGTGACAACTAGAAAAGTACAGTAGCAGTAACAGTCCTAAAACTTTGACTCCACTTATCATATTGATCATGTTTGCAGCTATTCTCTCTCAAATATACACTTCCTGATAACATACAGCTTTTCTGAGCAGTAGTGGAGATAATTAGTTTATTAAAATTAATGAGACACTATGAACGCTCCAATTTTTTTGGCTCAGATAACCAGAAAGCAGTTTGAATAAACAGCACACATTACAAGGTGTTTTCTTTATTCAATGCTTAGGCACTATCGATGGATCTCGGCAGGGGGTTAGCACCATGATGATATATTGAAGTACAAAACTGATCTTAAATATTTGATATTAACTCAAAAAACAACTTTAACAAACATGAATAGTGCTACACCGCTACAAGAGTCAGGAAGTTAAAATCAGGGCTGTTAGTCCATTCTTAATTTATGTGCGTGGAGAAATATAAAGCAAAATGGGGTAAGTTACTGACTGAATATGGGGCTTTTAGTTTCCAGACACTTGCTGCTTTGTGCCTCAGCTCTTAATATCATACTAGACCAAATTCATCCCTAGTGTAACTCCACTAAAGTTACATCAGCAATCAGTTTGGCTAAATTTTTCTAAAATATCCTGTAAGAAAAGTTCAGGGTTGGTTTTTGTTTTTTTTTTTAAGAAATCAGTATAGTTTGTGCTGGAACCTTAATCCCTTTGCTTTGAAGTACCAATATGTTAGCAACAAAGTTCCTATGTTGAGCATCACTTCAGCTGCCCCACCTGCCAGGTATGTTTGGGAGCACTCAAGCTGTTAATGACCCTTTTGCTTTTGAATTCTACAGCATTACCATCTATGGAATGCTAGGACACGGCGTGTGCATTCTACCTGGAAGTCCCAGGAATGTTCAGGAGTATTAGGTGGTTAAGTACAGTAAGTGCTGTGCTTAACAGAGTGATGATGCCAAAAGCATTTCTGGAGTTCTTACAGCTCAGCATAATGAATTATAAATGAGTCAATTCATCTACAACAGAGGAGAACAAACACAGCAGCATGAAAACTGCCATACTGGATCAAATCCATGGTCCTTCTCCTCAAGTAAACTATCACCAAGAGCGGCCAGTACCAGCTGCTTCACAGAAAGGTACAAAAAACCCTTCAGGTGGTAACTATGGGGTCATCTATCCCCAAGGAAAGTTTCCCCCTACAGTTAGAGATTGGTTTTCACCCTGAAACAAGTAACTCCAGAAATGCTAGAATAGGTCCTTAATATGTACAGCTATGCTGAAGACAACTTAAACGGAGATCCTGTCTATGCATGCATCATTAACAATCCCATCTCACTTTTTCTAAAGATCAAGAGTTTGCTCCTGTGTCCCAGGCTAATGTTTCTGGAAAATAGCTGAAAATCTCCCCCAACTAAAAGCCTGGTTTATAGTTTTAGCACATGATCCTAAAGTTCTTGCACATTTGTTTCAATAAGAAGTTTGAGTATGAAAGGACTGCAGGACCAGACCACAGCAAATCTATGTATCAGCAATTCTAAACTGGAAAAAAAAAAGTCTATATACTGAAGATTGATGGCTTTATCCAATCTTCTATTGATGGCATTTCTTAAGATTTTTACAATTTAATTAATTTCATCTTCTACATCTGTGCTCTAGCTTCCCTTTAACCAGTTTCTATACTTAATTTAGTTTTGTCTTTGAAGATGCCCAGTTGCAATAATAAACTGCAGATATCTCTACTGATGAGCCATACAGGTGTTTGTATTGATAGAGCAATGGGCAAATAACTAAATTAGCACTTATTAGCTCCCTCCACATTTCCTTATTGGGAATCAATGCCTAGAAAGAGTGATTCCTTTTGTATACCAGCTCTTGTTTGTTAAGTTTTCCAGACTACTGAGCATAATGGGCCAAGTTTTTCTCTCAGTATTAGTGTAAATATCAAATAGCAATTCCACTGAGTTGCTCCACATTTCCACTAATATAACCAAGAGCAGAATTTGGCTCAGTGGCTAAGCTTCTTATACAGAAATGAAATGCATTGACTCAACCCACAGCCTGTTGTTGCAGGATCTATTGTACTGTGTTGGTTACATATTCATTTGACCCATTTCATATTTTTAGCCAAATCTACAATGCAGTATGTCATCTTTGACTTGTAATTGCAAGAATGGACATTAGAAGAGTCACTGATTCTTATGTTTCAGTTTAGATAAATGGTCACATTACATTGAATTAAACACACCTGAAGACACCTTATACTCTGCAGGTACAAAAAAGGAAACACATTTATTGAAAGAAATGTTCAGCAAGACAGAAACCACAAAAAAGGCTAAAGAAACCAGTCTTTTCCATGGCCAGTCAATGCTTAGTATTCAATTGCAAGAGCTGAACACTTGGCGTTTTGAATATTTAGAACTGTTTCCTTGCATAGCTGTTTATGTTTCCATCAAACACCAGCCTCCATTCATTCATTGTTGTTATTCAAAAAGGAGATTTCTGTTCAGGCAAAGAGTCTTTATAAGTCAGCAACACTATGGATTAGGGTGACCAGAAGTCCCGACTTTATAGGGACAATCCCGATTTTTGGGTCTTTTTCTTATATAGGCTCCTATTAACCCCCCACTCCCTGTCCCGATTTTTCACATTTGCTCTCTGGTCACCCTACTATGGCTTAACACTCTCAGTTATCTCAAAGACCGAAATTGTGTGGCAAAAACTGAACAGAGAATATGGTTTACCTAGAAGACAAGTAGAACCACATGAAATATTTTACTCCAGATGACAGGGACAGGGAGAAGAGGGTCCTCCTGTCCTTTCACATAGATCCTCAACTACAGATGCTCTCATGGCCTGCACAGGATTATCTAGTATTGTTTTGGTGGCAGCCAAAAATGTACTAGGCATTTTCCCAGCACTGAGGATACAGTCCTGACACTAAAAAGCTGAGGTTTAAAAATGAGGTGAATTCATTTGTATATTTCACTTGACCTAATTTGCAGTTATGTATTCCACCATGCCAAAGAAACATTCCAAAAAGCCACACTGTTTAGAGACAACTCTGCGCATATAACATATTTGCTGCATTTCTCTCCCACATATTGGAAAACTCCTGCCCATATCTAATAGACACACATGTTCGGGACGAAGGCATGGAGTTATGGTGGTTCATGCATGTGGTGGCTGTGCTGAACAGGCTGGATCAAGCCTAGCTAAGGATGGGAGAAAATAAATTGTGTTCAGCTGTGCCCACAGAAATTAAGACTTCTTCCTGGTGCTCTGAGACACTGCCTTATTGCTAATGTAAGGGGTAATGCTACGGAGGCGAGGAGCTGTCTCAATTCTTTTCCTTAGTACACCTGTGCAGCACAGAGCAGGATTTGGTCCTTTGTTTAAATGCATGATATTTCATCGCTAACATTCACATGAGAACAGGATCTTTATTTCTTAAGGGTAGATCTGCTCCTTTTGCTTGTCCCTCAATCCAAAGTTATAGATGTCACAATTGTTTATGACTTCAGATGAGGACTAAGCAACCTGAACAGATGAACTCAAACTAAACGGCCTTTCTTCGGGGACTAAATGCTTCTCAAACATTTACATGGGACATCAGTTGCTCTTTAACATTCAGTGACACAGTTCAAAGACAAATATTGCAAGTTTCCCCAGAGAACTGTCAAAATTTATTTTAAACCTTGTATCTTTCAGTATCACAGGAAAATGCCAGTATTCTACTATCTGCTTATTTACTTAACTGCCTAAAAACTCTCCTAATCAGATTACAGGGGTAAGTATCTTAATACTATGTTATTCTAATTAATCAAAAACTATCCTATAATCCTCAATTTGGTAAGCTGAGTGAAAACTGGTATAATTTACATATACATACCATGCACTATAAGCTTTACACCAACAGATCCTAAATAATTGTTGTTTGCTCAGAAGTTGTACAGTTATTTTTGAAAAAAACAACCTCATAGTTGTTTTCCTTCTATAGGCTGTATCTGGGAAAAAAACATGCTTAAGATCACAAAGTTTGCCCCACAAAGCTCTCAATATCATCCTTTATATGATACTGGCAAGCTCTTCAGAGAAAAGTATGAGGGGGCTTTTTTTAAATCAAAATAAAGTTCAGAAAGTTTGTTAATGCAACTTTCCCTTATCAATACTTGAGGTACACATACACTCATTCTCTCTTAGTAATGCTAATAAGCTCAGAGTGCAACTAGTAGGAAGTTAATGGCAGTCTCAAATGCCTTTATTTTTGTTGATAACAAAGGGCCTGTTTTTCCACTGCTGTTGCACCGTGTGTAGTAATTTACACCGGTGCACAGTGATTGCAATATCCTCACATTCTGATTTGGTAGTGTTTTGCATCTACTTTTTACAGGTGCAAAGCAGCCAAAAATCAGGCCTACATCTATCACAGTAGTATCTGCATAACAACAATCTTTATGTTAACAGTTGCATAACTTGGACTTACCATTAGCATTTTTCCCACAGATGAGATGCTCGTAAGGCTGCAGTACTCCCCAAAGTTCAGCATCATTGTTGATGACCATCTCAAGGATTTCAGAGGAGATCTCCCCCACTCCTCCTCCATCTGGGCTCTGACTCGCTAGAACCCTGCCTTTGATTTCTTCCACCAGATTCTCCAAACAAGACGTCAAAGAGATAGCTGCATACTCATGAATCCTTACCGAGATCCTAGTGTCCACCATCCACCTGAAAAACCTCCCCACTGAGAAGGTGAGGCCACATCGGGAGGACTTGCCTTTCCTCAATCCATCTCCTGCACTCATGCTGTACAGGGAAAGAGCCTTGACAGTAGCCAGGACACAGCTTTCTGACAATGACCAGCTCTGGATGAGCTTGATGGCACTTTGGACCTCAAATCTAGTGCATTTGGAATGCATCACACTCAGACGTTGGGCCTCCCTGGAGATCCTGATCAGGGCTCTCCTAAGTAGCTGAGAGAGTCTCCTGACAGCTTCCTGAGAAAAGTTTCTGGTATTTCCTTCCCCCTTTCCTTTTCTGAGTATTTTCCCAATGTCTTCATCGGTCCAAGGGAATTCCTCTAGATCTGGCAGTTTAGGACACTTGGAAAAGATATCTGCAACTTCGGGGTCTTCTGGCAGAACAGTGTTCACTGTATCCCAGCTGTTATTCCTACTATTCATGGAGCCTGAATAGTACCACCAGTTGCCCCTGTGCTGAGATGATGTGAAGGCTTGGGAGTTGGACTTAGAAGAAGAGAGACTAAGGGATCTGCAGGAATCCCCTGCCCCATAACCAGAGTCTAAGGTTAAATCCTCCAGGGTCTTCAGAGTAGAGCTGTATATCCCAGCCATAGGAAAGACTTGTGATCCAGCCCCTTAGAGGCACAGAAAGGTGAAGATGAAACTAGATCCCTGCTGCAGTTAGTGGACCAGAGAGGCTGGCACCACAAAGAGAACCGCTGGGCAGCTTATAACATTGCAGAGGAGAAGAAAGTTCACACTTCAGCTTCTGAGGCTCCTTCAGGCTCTGCTGGGTGCCAGCTGACTCCATTCCACAGACAGGCTGAGATCATTCATTTTCCGTCTGAAGCAAGGATGGAAAGTACGGGGAGGGAGGGGATAGTGTCAGTATCAAACACTCCCCAACGTGCCAAAGGAGTCTCCTCCTAGCAGGGCAGGTCACTTCAGAGCCTCAAGACAAGGCCAACCCCACCTCTCCGGCGAGCCGGGTGGTTCTGAAGGCAGCGAAGTGCTGAGCAGGCAGGGAGAGGACGGATCCAGAAGACTAGCCCAAAGAATCCTTCTCCAAATCGCTACCCAGAGCAAAGCTCCGGCCCATCAAGGGAGCGCGGCAGCAGGAGAGCCCAAGAGCAGCTGCAGGCTCTGCTCCAGCCGGAGCTCCGGACACTTGCAGAAGCTTTGAGCAAACTCCTCTGTTGGGCACCCCGTGTGCAGACGGCATGCAAATAACCTGGGAAAAACACCAATCAGCGGCTCCGGAGGGGGCTGAGGCAGCCAGTGAAATCCGAGCTGAGCGGCCCGTATGTAAAACGGACGCAGGAAGAGGGTCCACTGGGGGGGAGAAAGCCGGAGTGGGGGGAACGGTGGATTTCTAAACTCAACGCGTTTGTATCAATCTGCAAAACTCCACGCGGAGTAGCCGCCTTTGGGCGACCCCCGCCTCCCTTTGCACGCCGGGGAGGCGAACGGAGGGACTTGTGCACCGCCCCGGGGCTCTCCGCCCGCTCAGCCCCGTGCAGGGGGTTGCTCTGCGCCCACAGACGGGTGTGCGGGACCCGAATGAACGAGTCGGGAGGCTTGGAATGAAGCGGGTGGGGGAGTGGATGTAGGACAACGCGATCACCTGTGGGCAATGAAAATGCCTCTTTCCCCTCCCTCCCCCCACGCCATCCCGAGTACTCTCTGCCTGCAGGAGACCATCAGAAACAGGGGGGTTCACTCTGATTTTCACTGGAGAGTTCTTTTTCCTCCGCTGCTGGACAATGAAAACTGTCCAAAGTGAAGATCCCAGTTTCTGAGTGAAAGACCAAACACGTGTCCCTGAAAACAGTGATTAGACTCATTTCATTCAGACGCATAATTTATACACAGAGCTGTACGAACAGGCGGTTCATCTACCTGTCTCCTCCTCCCCGGCGTAGAAAATGAATAGGTAGATTGTAAGCGTGTACCCTATAGCCACTATACCAGCTCCTGAAAGAGGGCTTTGTATGGTAGTTTACACGGTTCTGACCTTAAACCATGTCTCGTTTGTTTCTTTCCCTCACTCCGAAGTAATGGTCTTATTTCCCTCTCTAGTTTATATAAATAAAATTGTTGCACTTATTATTTACTTGATGCAACAGCGCCGCCTTCCGGTAAGAAAATCAATTCAGGCCAGCTTCCTTATTTACAAGCGTTCAGGGCTTTAATTTTTAAATGGTACTATCCGGTTGAAAAGAATATATTAAAAAACAAATATCTTTGCCTCTGCCAAGAAGTTCTCACATTCTTAAAACTGAAAGACGTATACATCTGTTTTACTTTCTAATGTATTTCTCATTATATATACTGGCTTTTTGCAAAGTAAACAAACCAAAACCATTATACCAGCCAAAAACTACAATACATGTCTATGTCTAGACTGTAAAAAACTTCAAGAAAAACATCTATCTTTTGCATATCGTACAGCATTGATAACATTAGCACTAAACAACAGAGATGAGTGAATGAAAATAAGCTAGTCTGTTTTATATCTGTAGACAATTAGTTTGTCATTAGTCCTTATGCACTAGCAAGAGTTACAATGATTTGTTTGTGTTATTGCTTATTTGTTTTAAAAGTGCTGTTTCTAATTCGCTTTTGTTTAGTTTAATGGAAACATTACTATTGGTCTTATTCTCTCAAATACACAACTCTTTACTTCAGATTTGTAAATTTCACAAGACCTCTGTGGCCACTTCTTTCTCTCCAAATTTATATTTGGTATTTAAAACTTCTTGCCGCAGGTTTTAATTTTCAGTTACTTTGGTCATTAGTTTAGTTTAAACTATTAGCTGTGTTTTGCTGCATGAAAATCAGTCCAAACAAGCCAGCAGTTCTGCATATCTTCAGTAGATGGCACCCTTTATCATTCTCTGAATATCACATCATTCAGAAGGAGTTATTTAAGTTAAGGGCCTATGTTGGCACAAGAACAACTGGACATAAGCTGCTATCAACAAGTTCAGGCTTGAAATTAGGTGAAGGTTTCTAACCATCAGAGGAGTGAAGTTCTGGAACAGCCTCCCACTTGGAGCAGTGGGGGTCAAAAACCTAGTTGGTTTCAAGACTGTGCATGATAAGTTCATGGAGGGGATGGTATGATGAGATTGCCTACAATGGCATGTGGCCCATCTGCGACTGCTAGTAGCAAATATGTCCCCGAGGTGGGACACTAGATGGGGAGGGCTCTGAGTGAATTCTTTCCCAGTTGTCTTGGTGGCGGGTTATGCTGACATGCTCAGGGTCTAATTACCATATTTGGGGTCAGGAAGGAATTTTCCCCCAGATCAGATTGGCAGAGGTGGGGGTTCGCCTGGGGGGGGTTTCGCCGTTGGCAGCATCAGCAGCATGGAGCACGGGTCAATTGCACGGGGTCACTGTTGCAAATGGTGACTTCTCTGTAACTTGAAGTCTTTAAATCATGATTTGAGGACTTCAGTAACTCAGCCAGAGATTATGGGTCTATTACAGGAGTCAGTGGGTGAGGTTCTGTGGCCTTTGACGTGCAGGAGGTCAGACTAGATTATCATGATGATCCCTTCTGGCCTTAAAGTCTATGAGTAGGGTGACCAGACATCCCGATTTTATCAGGACTGTCCCGATATTTGCTTGTTTGTCCCGCGTCCCGACCAATGTTAGGTCGGGACACTGGACAAACAAGCAAAGGCTCCGGAGCCCGGAAGGGCTTGCGCCCCCACCCCAGCCCCGACTCCGCCCCCTCCTTCCCCCATTGGCTCCCTCCCCAAATCCCCGCCTCTTCCCCAAGCATGCCATTCCTCCTCCCTCCACAAGTGCTGGAGGGAGGCCCCGGAGACGTAGGGGGAGCGCGGGGCCGGGGTGAGTGAGAGTCCGGCCTGGCCCCGAACGCAGGCAGGACTCAGTCGGGCGGTACCTGGAGGGAGAGTAGGGGAGCGGCCCGCGGGGCCAGGCGGTGGCTGTCCTCCCCCCGGGCAGCGGGACTCGGGAGCAGCCGCTAAATAAATGGAGATATCCTATCTCCTAGAACTGGAAGGGACCTTGAAAGGTCATCGAGTCCAGCCCCCTGCCTTCACTAGCAGGACCAAGTACTGATTTTTGCCCCAGATCCCTAAGTGGCCCCCTCAAGGACTGAACTTACAACCCTGGGTTTAGCAGGCCAATGCTCAAACCAGTGAGCTATCCCTCCCTCCTGTGGGACCCGAGCAGGGCGGGGGGGGGCTGGGGCCTGCTGCCCCCACTCCGGGGCCGCCCGCGGGATTGCACCAGCTGGGCAGCCAGCCCAGACACAACTGGCCAGGGGCTGGGCGCAGCATGCGCGCTGCTGGGTCCCCGCAATAGGCCTGGGCTTGGGGGGTTCGGGCCCGGGCGCCAGAGCCGCAGCCGCCGAGCGCCGTGGCCTCTTCCTCCGGCCGCGGCAGTAGGAGCTGCAGCAGTGGCTGCTCCCGAGTCCCGCTGCCCAGGTGGGGAGAACAGCCGCCGCCTGGCCCCGCGGGTCGCCCCCCTACTCTGCCGCTGTTTTTTTTTTTTTTTTGCTCCGCCGCACACCCCCCCTCCCCCGCGTCCCGATATTTGACCTGGGTGATCTGGTCACCCTATCTATGAGTCTATTTACAGTGTTAAAGAAGCAACTTTCCTTTCTTCATATTTCAGCACACTTGTTTTCAAAAGTGACACAGGGCAGGGGGGCTCATGCTCTCCTCCCCTCCCCCTGTTGAGGCGGGCGTGCTCCCAGGTGGAGCTCTTAACTACAGCACAGCATTAGTGTGGAATGTTTCAGAGTAGCAGCCGTGTTAGTCTGTATCCGCAAAAAGAACAGGAGTACTTGTGGCACCTTAGAGACTAACAAATTTATTAGAGCATAAGCTTTCGTGGGCTACAGCCCACTTCTTCGGCTGTAGCCC